AACTTTGGCTCACATACAGTATCAGAAACATGGCCCAGTTTTCATTATTCACACTAAAGTGGATTAGAGTTCTGTGATGATGGAGACATACTAAAGTAAGGAAATTGATGGTGCTTTTCGGTCAAGACTTAGTGGATCATCACTTCCTTGACACAGAGGAACAACATGATAATGATTATTCAGTTGTATCAGACCTTTATATAGACAACAAGGCTTTGAGTTTATATCAATAAACAAGGTTCAAATGGATTGGTATTCACCTGAATAAAGGTAAAAGGTGCAAGCGCCACCTTATCTAATTTACTGTACTTCTGCTTGTTGTTGTTAGTATTATTTGTTTATCCATTAGTTTGTAGATGATTATTAATCCACCCTGTGCGCGTGTGTTTTTTAAAAAAGTACAGCGCAAGTAGGCTATATTTTGAAGGTCATTGAAGAACGGCTGTGTCCTTCTGCATACTGGGAGAGGCAGCACATGCATTCTCCTGGGTCAGGCAAGCTAGAGAAGATCCAGACATATCATGTTGTAACATCTCCCAGGAGCTGGCCTTGGCCTGCTCTCTGATCCAGAGAAAAGTATGTTAATGAATTTTGGAAGTCACAGTAAACAAGCAAGCTAATTTTGTTTAAGATTAGGATTTGGCATGCTAGGGCTACATCTGGGGTCTCTAGCACAGGCGAGGTTACCCAGAAAAGGGGTTAACAGGGTTACACGTGAAAAGAAGAAAAATATTTACTAGCAGATGTTTAGTTGCACGTTTATTTTTAGGGATTGGTTCAGTCTCTTTCTCCTGATTAGTTGCTCTTTCTCTCATTTCCTCTCACTCTTATGCAGTTGATTTATTTAAAGGTATGTCAGCACAGGCTGAAATGAAGTACTATGCCTCCTCTTTCTGCTTATTGCTGACCGTTCCAATCATTCATTTTTTAGCTCATTAGCTAACGGGGGATGTGAACAGTGGTCCTCCAGGGGATTGGAATGAGGTTAAGTGATCTACTGCTGACAACTCTGCTCTTGGACTGGCCTTCCTTTGGGAAAATGAAAGCTCAACCAGGACAAGCTGTGGATCCCAGAAATGAAATTGTGACATCAGAGAAACAGTTACAGTATTTATGTCTTAGTGTCATAATTCCTAGGGTGAGCAGGTACAGTGGAGCCAAAACAGTCTTCCAGGAAAATCGTGAGAACTTTCCCTTTTAAATTAAATCACTCACACCAAAGGAGAGCGAGCCTGTATTAGGGGAAATACAGCAGGAGAGGATGTCTGTAAGGCTTTCTGGATTTTCACTCAAAAGAGTAATACACCTCTACCCCGATATAACGCTGTCCTCGGGAGCCAAAAAATCTTACTGCGTTATAGGTGAAACCTCACTTGCCATCAGAGGTCAGAAATGAGCTGCCCCAGGGTGTGCTAAACATTTAAAGCCTTTTTATTTGTGTTTGCGCTGATTGCTCTTCCCATGGCTTTCCGCTAGAACCCTCAAGTGGAATTTTGGGAATCTTTAGCCAGACAGGTCATTAACATCATGTGGTATTCAGATGAAAGTTTCTGTGTTATTCATCAGGAATGTACTTAAATAGCTATTGTCTGTCTAGATGTATAACAGACTGACACTTGCTATCCAGTATATTCCCCAATAACTACTGTGTCTAGAATTGTTTTTAAATAGTCTTGCAAACTAGAAACAATTATTGACATTGAAGTATCTTCCATTTGAGGATCTCAAGGTGCTTTACAGACTGTAAGGACAAGATTCTGCCACGCTTACACACCCTGAATTGTATCTTACTTCACAAATAGTCCCACTAATTTCAGTGGGACTACTTATAGATCAAGGCTTTACTCAATGTGAGCAAGGGTGGCAGAATCTGGCCCTAATTAATTAAGAGACTCAGTACCCATGGGAGGTAGGTGAGTATTATGCCCATGTTACACATTGAAGAGATTGAAGTAAAGTAAAATTAAGTAACCTGCTCAAGGTCACAGAGCAAGCCAATGAGATGACACAGTGGTAGAGTCTAATATAGACTGCAGAACCTTGCTCTTGCAAGTAGACTCTCCCATTTCCTGAATATCTTGGATTACCAGTAACTCTAGCCTTTGCCCAGCCCTGCAACAGATTTACTATGGTTGTACAGAACTCTGCTCACAGCACACAGTAAGAGTCAGAGAGCGAGACAGTGGTTTGTTTCACCAGGTTATGTAGCAGTAGAAATCTTTGAGGGGGACCGGTTGTGTCCTGCACTTTGCCTTCCCCCCTAAGCCAACAGGACAGCAAGGGTGGGTGGCCTGTTCCCATCCCCATAGACAGACCCTATTAATGGATTACCCATAATAACCTAACAAGTTTGTGGTCTGTCCTTCTTACTCTTTTTGAAACAGGGTGATAATGTGGTCCCAGTTTGGAGCTTAATGTCTCATTCCTGATTCCCCCAGGCCATCCAAAAATGACAGCTTCTCTTTGTCTGATAAGCCTTTGCATCACTCTCAAGCAGCTTTTTTTCCCCTTTGCATAAGATACACATTTTTAGAAGAGTTAATGTTTCTCTGTAAAAACTGCTTTTGGAGTGTACGTAAATACTGTGGAGGAAAAATAGACAAACTGTTAAAAAATAGTGTAAACATAAAATCCATTCTCGTGAATTTTGTAAAACTTTGGCAACCTAAGGCTCTGAAAACTTCCAGCTGATCCTGGCACGTTTAGTTGCTACTTCTGTACACACTGAGGTATCCGCTCTCATGGCTCGTACTGAAGTTATGCTCATCTTTAATAAAAACAAAACAAAAATCCTTTTTCTCATAGCTGGATTGTGAGTAGAATAGAAGGTTTGTTCAAAACAGCTTCTTTCTCTGAACAGAGAGCAATTTCTGTTCAAGTCATGGTTCCCACAACTGATGCCACAGCTCGGATTGGAACTGGGAAAACCTGTTGCAGAAACAACTACAGGTTGCTGTTGCTGACGGTCCCCAGTGCCCTTTCAGTCCTTAAATTTAAGATTTAAAAGTTTTGTTGTGGAGCAGATGGGTAAAAGCAGCTTTTGAAAAAAATTGGATGTATGATTTTAAGAGCGATAAATTGACTGTCCCCTGACCTAGGCAGTGGTCCCAAAATAATGCTGTGAAATGCACTTAATCTGGGAGTCCTGCCCATTTTGTAAGAGTAAATTATATATTTATAAAATACTTGGTATATTATACATACTTTTATTTTTAACAAATATTAAAACATTTTAAATGAGGCTTTCCAAGTACTGTACCTGTTTACTCCATTGACTTGGAGATGTACAAGACCTGGATAAATAATAGTTTTACAACCAACTGTGGTTATTTTTTAAGAGTGCATAGAATACCAAAATGGCATCATGTGACACAACTCCACAACATGCATGACATTTTAGGCAACTGGAGCTATGCTATTCCATCCTTCTCACAGCATTGGTACTTGTTGGGTTTGATTTTATTTGTACACAACAGCACTAGAGAAGTGGAGTATTAACCTTCCCTGTCAATGTCTGTTTGTGTCACAATTTTAACATTATTCAAAAGTTTTTTTTCTCATATTGAATATTTGAAAATAGAATGTACTTTTAAGCATCAGCATCACAGGATATTTTTCAGCACGCAAGATGGTTTCAATATTATTCAGAGTGTGGTGGCCATTTGAAGGATTGTCCAAGCCATAATTTTTGGAATAAATTGAAAAACTTTTTCTTTATGGGGGAAAAATGACTGTATATTGCATAGTTATAGGTTGAATTGTCATTTATGTAGAAAAGTGCATGCTTTGGAAAGCTTTGCATGAAAGCATCCAGAGGGGTCAATGTAAGGTCACTCCACATGTACCAGGAAGTGATGCAAAACTAATCCAGATTTGCTGTTGGAACTATCTGTTTACATAAGTATTTAAAAACAGATTAGGGCTAACCTGACACTAGATTACTGGGAGTAGTGTAAACACTGCTGAAAGGTGTAAACAGAGCTTTTCTTTCTGTACTTGAGAGGGGAAAAATGTCATCAGTAAGTAGCTTTCCTGCTATGTGCTGTATGTGGTTTTCACAGGACAGACTGATTACCGTACAGATACCTGAAGTACTAGGCAAAAAGGGCACCTATAAATGGGAATTTGCCTGTGACCAGATCCCCCAAAGCACATCAGTGTGTGTTGAAACGATTTTAATAGAAATTGGAGAGTTACTTGTAAAATGTGGCATTATCCTACAATTCAACTGTATCTAGGAAGCTTTTGGTGCTTACTTGGTACAGTGAGAGGAAATGATGCTTCAAAGTCCTGAGATTTTCCTTAAAAAACAAAAACCTCCTGAACCTCTGTCCCGTTCTGAAACAAACTGGGATGTTATTGTTCAGTGGCCGAATCTGACAGCCTGAAAAAGCAAGGCAGTACCTTTCAGTAATTTCCCTTTTCTTTCTTTAGATGCAAGCAGGAGTCCGTTTTTTCATGGAAGTGAACTTTGGGGAATTTAGTGCTGCCAATGGCTACGTCTAGGCCCAATGCAGGCAAATTCTGTGCACACTTCCCCTGTGTAGCTTTGCCAGCACATCTCAGTCCTGACCTGGAGCTCCGCTTGGCTGCTCCAGTCTTGGGTCTCTCTTGAGTAGAGATGGCCGGTTTTGCTGCCCTATGCCAAACTGCATGGCACCAAACTTGTTCCACTTGTGACCCAAGGCATGCTTGAGCCTCTGTTTCTGGAGGTGAAAGGCTGGTACATGAACTCAATAGGTAATGTAGCTCTCTGGCCAGGTACAATCAGGGGAGAAATGTGTAGATGTCATAAACTTTGTCGCACGTATCCGGCGTAAAGGAAACGTTTCTGAGAGAAGCTTTTTTGCTGACATTTACAAGAAGAAAATGTTTTCTTGCTAATTAGCCTCTCTGTATGGCAGTGTGGTTTTGGATTGTTTGTCTCCAAAGGTGACTATGTATCACACAAAGGCAATGGAACTAGTTTTTGAATGGCATGTTTCTTTTTGCTTCTCTAGGGAAGAAAAAGAGCGCTGGATACGTGCTAAATATGAACAGAAGCTCTTCCTTGCCCCGCTGCAGTGCCTGGAACTTTCTTTAGGCCAGCATCTGCTACAAGCTACAGCTGATGAGGACTTGAGGACTGTCATCCTGCTCCTGGCCCATGGAACCCGGGAAGAAGTGAATGAGACCTGCGGAGATGGGGATGGGCGCACAGCCCTTCACTTGGCATGTAGGAAAGGAAATGTAGTGTTAGTTCAGCTCTTAATTTGGGTGAGTACCTGCCTTGTGGTGTTGGGTATGCAGTGCTGAGTTACCTTTCACTGGTCCCTATTGTCTAGCAAACATTATTTCAATATGGCCTTTCAGAATATTGCTATGAGCATATTCCAGTGGGGTGCTCAAGGTATCTCCCTCTTTTCCTTCGTCTAAATGTTCCTATTCCTTTCAAATGATGGCACTTAAACCTTCTTGGAGATCACTTGCAAAATGTGTCTTTCGTCACATCTGTTTACATGCGGTAAAAACTGGAGTGAGGCATGGGAAGAGGGATAGGTGTACACACTGTGGAAAATCCGCATAACATGCAATGGTGAGAGATGATTTGCGTGTCCGGCAGCAGTTGAGGATCTTCCAGTAGAAAGCTGTATGTGCATGAAGCGTGTTTGTCATGTTCAGATTTACAACCCCTTAAAATAAAGAGCGTCTATCTTTGAGTATTTCTCTCTGTCCGTCGCATCCCTCCCCTTAAACTCAGGTCTAGCTGTGCTGTTTTCTTTCACTCCATTTTAACGCTTTGTTAGAAGCAGGGTCTCAAATGGCGTCTGTTTTTTCCACAGTATGGCGTGGATGTTATGGCCCGTGATGCCCATGGGAACACGGCGTTAGCCTATGCCAGGCAAGCCACAGGCCAGGAATGCATTGATGTTCTCCTGCAGTATGGCTGCCCTGATGAGCGCTTTGTCCTGATGGCTACTCCCAATTTGTCCAGGAAGAACAATAACAGGAACAACAGCAGTGGAAGAATGCCCACCATCATCTGAGGAACTTATTCATTTCTTCACTGACCTGAGTAACATCCACAGCCTCATATTGCTCCATTTTCTTCCCAGCTCTAACCTGTGAGTCTTACACCTCCCCATCTCCCTTTTCCCCTCAATCTCTGTCCTCTCCAGAAAAATCACATCTGGACAGTGTGAAGGGACCAGAGGAGAAAAGGGGGCTGCAGAAACCCTTTATTTTAATAAAAGGTCTTGAATAAGGAAAACTGAAAAAGGGAGGGTTTGTGAGAGAGAGTGGTAGTGAGGTCTCTAATTAAAGCACATGACATGGGACCATTTTACTAGTTGTCTTCAGGCAGAGGCTCTACAAGTGTTGAAAGAAGGGGTGGAGGGAGAAGAAAGGAGGAGGAAGAGGAGATGAAAGAAGAAATGGTAACTTTCCTTAACTGACAGTTAAGCACATCAGTACATTTCACCTCTACCAAACGGAACACTTGGATTTCATTCTCTTCTCCGAAGAGCTTGACGGCATAAATCAGAAGCAAGCACAGAGTTTGTCAGGTTTGAAGCTCCTATGATGGTATGTGTCAAATCAGTTGTAGCTAATCTGTCCAGGGAGAATACTGGCTTCATTACACTTGTATAGTTGAGTTCTTCCAGCATTACTGCTGTTTAATAGAACATGATTAGTCATCACGGAGAAAAAAGCATATTAGCTGAGGAGGTAGTTACATGGCACGCTTCGGTGATTGCTTGGATGTGATTGCAATATTCTTAGAAGCATCATATTATCTCAGACATGTTCTTTCAAGCCCTTGGAGCCCTCCTTTCTAAATTCACTGTCATAATTTAGTATCTGTTTAATTTTTCAGTCCAAAGAGAGGAAATCGGTTGCTGAGTGTTATTTGACTGCAGTCTCCTTGGTGTAAAAACAAAATGGAAAAAATAAATAAGGATAACTATGAAACACAAAAAGAAATAATGAATACTGCTAAGGAAAAACATTTCAAGTACATTTAGTAAAATAAATAAATGCATTAAAGGCTACTATTTTTTTTTCAGTCACAAGAAATACGTTATGTCATTTTGCCAAGTAAGTGTGTTGAGTTTTTTGGTCACTCTTGTGATGCATTGCCTAAATTATACAGATTTTGTATTGTGTCTTTAGATTATATGTATGTAAATCTATTTGAATAAACAAGTTCATAAATATGCATTGATTTTTGTACAGACAAATGACACCTCTGTTAATTTATAAACTATAATGGATGTGAACTAAATAATGTGCAGGTAGTTAGGATCTGAGGTTTACAAATAATTGCACATTGAAAATATTCCCAGCAGTGAACTGTATTTCCATTTGTTTAATGCAAACCTTTGAAGAACATATCGAAATGAGATGATGGCATATTTGGCTTACCAAAAAAAAGGTGTACAGTATCTATTAGGAAGAAAAGGAGGATGTCTCTCAGTAGCGTAAACATATTTTACATTAGAAGCTATGATGCTTTCACAGACCGAGACACAGCCTTGGGGCGGGAGGGGAGATCAGATTTGTCTAATAGCTAAACTTAATGTTGTTCTCTGAGGTGGGCTTGGCCTGGCTCCTTTGACTCTGAACTTGGCTGCTTTGTGGAGCAACAATGATAATGTGGAAGGAGTTTGGACAGTTCATCCATCTACCAGTTTTAATACTTGATTCAATATTTTGGTAGCACTAGACTGATGCTGGTTTCTGAAGTCTTCTAAAAACTGAAATTGTGGCACAGAGAAGTAGATGGCAAGGTTTCTGGCGAAAAGAGAAGTGATTTTTAAGTGGCATATGGTAATATGAAGGTGGAAGAAGGGTGTATTTCAGGGAAAGTTGAAATCTGATCTGAATCGTGGCAGAGGAACAAGTGTATGAAGTTCGTCAGGTGCACCACAGCACACTAATTTGCTAATCTACCTGATCTTCATGTATCTCACGAGTTTCTGTACTTCTTGGGGCTCTGTATGTCTGTTCAGGTCAGAATGGGAAGAGAAAATAATAAAATTTATGTGGACAAAATTGGGGGGGGGAAATGTAATATCCCATGGGTGTCCAAAAGAGGCAGGTTTGGCCCGAAAGCCAGAGTCCCCCAGTGATCAGGTGAGAGAAGCCCCAAGGGCTCAAGCAGGTGGACATCGATGGGCTTTCCTGGTCCTTTAGAATTCTGTTTTTATGCTTTGTTGCAATAGGGGCATTTAAAGGGGAATGGAAAAAGCTTTTAATGTTCGTTTTACCAGCCTAAGCCAGCAGCATCATGCTTTCACATGTGCATTTAAAATGATAAAGCTATTTTTGGTGGTTGTTGGTTTTTTTTAAGTAGTTTGCATAACAGCGCCATCTTTACTCACACACTGCCGTCTGGACTTAGATATTGACAGGTATCTTCCTCCAACCTTGGATGACTTCACTAACATCTACAACTGAACATGAAACTGCACACTCAGCATTCTGCTGCTGGGTGTTGGTGATCTTTCCATCTGTAGCAGGGGACACAGTAATCTGATCTCCAGTCCCTTGGCAGGCCGGTGAAGTAGGAATTGAGAGTCTGATTTCCAGAAGTGCTATCCAGCCCCCCGCTGTTTAAAATACTTTGTTTTAAAACAAGTTGCCATTTTTAAGCCTATAACACATGCTTTTTCAAAGCTGGTATTCTTCCAAGTTTAAAATGCTTTTCCATTCACCTTTCAATGATCTCTTTAAACCAGTCTTCCTAGCATGAAACATACCAAGGCACTGAGAAATAAGGGGAACCAGGCTAAATTGTAACAAGTTTCTGACACTGTAAAGGTCCATCATATCCTTCTGCGGTAAAGGAAGACATTCAGAAATTGTTGCAAAGGAATCTTTAGAAAAGGAAAGTCTACTGTATCATAGGAAGGATGGTTTATCCAGACAAACAGAATATTAACACACTACTTTAGATAAAGCAGTAACACAGTTGTTTAAATTAGCACATCATTTTCTTAGACATATTAGTAAGGGATGATAATAGCAGTGTAGACCAGTGCTTTTGTAGAATAGGAGACAGCTTACCTCTTTCTAGTGACATATCCCAAAAGTCAAGGGATGTCTGCAGGGAAAATATACAGCCCATCCACTTGGTGGCCTTCCCAGTCTTTCAAAGAGAGTGCCACCCAGACATTGTCCCTGGAGACAATGTAATGCACACTAGATTTGGAAGGCTTGTCATTGCTTTGATAGATGTGGCTTAGGCCCTGGCAAACCTACGTTTTTGTGCTATCTAATATTCATGCCTGTAACCAATTCCCCCCTCACCTCCCATTGAGATGGGAGGAATAGCAAAGGGGTTAATGAGGCACAAGTTACTTATATGAGCAGATTCAGGTACACTTGTCTCCCAGGAAGTTTGGGTCCTCAGGTACTTATTCAAGGAAGCTTGGTCAGAAATGGCTGGAAAGGGGTAAGGCACTGCTTGGGCCTTTGGTCTTTAGGACTCACACCATGAGAGGCAATGTGACAAGATCAGGCCAGTGTGAATAACATCCCCTGCTTGTTGCTAGCTCTCTGTCTTGTACAGTATAATATGCACTGTACTTAAAGAAACAACAAAAATCTTCTCGCTTGGTGTTCCAGTCTGTCTCCTAAGTTTAAAACTAAGAAAAGTCTCATGTTTTCCTTTGTAAGATAGACCCCATTTTATCTCCTTCACACACTAGGGTACAAGGTGCCCAGAGTTGATGCTTAACAAATATCTCCCAGATATCCAGCAGAGCTAGTCTGACTTTGATTGGCATTCGAAGCTGACATGTTTGACACTAAGCGCTTATAGGTGATGTGGTAGCATTTTGCAGAGGGTGATCCTGACCCCGCCAAGCCATTGAAACACAAAGGAATACAGTAAGACTTCTAGACGCCACAGTAATTTTTTACGCTGATTCTGCTCTTTTAATCTGTCCACTTCAGTTCCTCACTTTTGCTTTTAGCCCCTCTTCTTGCGATTCTGAAACCCACTTACCAGAATGTTTACGCCCTTTGAACGTGTTAGGAGCAACTTAAAAACCAATTGAAGGCCAGGCAATAAGAAATCCCAATAGAAACATGCTGGGGAGCTAAATCTATTTCTGTTTTCTCAAATAACGGAGATCCATAATGTCACCCATTCAACCCTTTTCCTGCTCCCATTATCTTCTTTCCTATCTCCTCTGCAGTTTATCCACAAGTAATAAGACACTAAAATCAAAGCCATCTTTGCTATTAGCATTGGCATTTCCATTCTATTTATTTTAATCCAATTGCTGTTGAACCATAGAGATGAGCCTGATCTGCAACACCTGGGTCTTGATGTTCCCAGAGTTTGGAAGGCTGCGTTTCATCCTGTAGACAGAGGGGCCAGATCCTAAACTTTCCTGAAGTTTGGATTTTCCAGATCGGGGGTTTGGTCAGGGCTCCTCTCTGTTTAATCGATTTCAATTTTATTACTAAATGGGGGTAGAAGAATAAATGTATCTTGAAAGTGTTGGTGCATTCTGGTTCACGTGCCATTTAGAAAGCTGTTTAACTATTCGTTGGAAAAGGGAGAAGATTTTTAGGCATTGCTACCTAGGTACAGTGTATAACTGGTGTGTAAAGATTAATACTGTTTATTTTGCTGTCTCTTTCCCCCACCTCCTTCAATTATACTTTGTAGGGAGCAAAGAGCTTCCCCTTCACTTGATATGAGATTTGCTCATAGGAAGGGGAAGTTTGGGTAAAATAGGAAAGAAGTCAGAGAAAGATTGTGAATATATAATGTTAAATACACTCCCCTAAAAATTGTATCTAGCACTACAATGTACCATTACTCATGGGGCCGGCACTGAGGGTCCAATTTGTTGCTATTTTCATCTTTTATATTTGTACAGTGATCAGGAAAGATGAAGTAATATGTGGGTCTAATAAAGTAGTAGTAGCTAAGACAAGCACAGATTTCACAAAAGATTTCTAAATAAGTGGATTCCTTCACTACTGTCTTGGGGAGCCGTGTTTGCACCCCAAGAGGGAACGTGTTCATTCAAGCTATCACTACTCTACTTTGAGAATGCAAATGTAGGGGACCAAATTTTAAGCAGTTTA